CCTTTAAGAAATGGTAACATGAAAAGTAGAATGAGTCAGACTATCCCAAAGCAATCAATGTCACTTTGGCTCAAGACTGGTGAAACAAAACAATACAGAAGTAAAACTCTAAAATATAATCAAAACCAGGATTTGTACCAAAATTCAAAAGTGAGTTAAATTTGGCCTCAACAGGGACACACTTTCAGGGCTCTAAACACACAGCATCTAGGTTAGTGAGTGCTCTTTAAAGATACACTTGTTTTCTACATTACTCTCAAAGATTACTGCTGTAGTCTGAGTGAAGTGGGGTCCAGTTATCTGCATTTCATGAGCCCCACCATACGGCTCTGATGTAGTTAACCTCACTCTGAGAATAACTGAAGATTGCGGCAGTGAATTTAAGCACAGTGTAGTGTATGTATGATAATTTTCTTTAATTCTGTAAGGGCAAAATATACACAAAAGAAAACCATTCACCAAAACAGGGCATCTTTCATTCTTCCTGCATTCGGAGTGGCTGAATCCTACATGACTAGCGTGCAAAGCAAACAACACTGTTCAGTTCAGAGTGAAGAGTTCCTGTAGACATTCTCCTGTATGAATAAGCCCCCCTAATTCCAGTGGGTGTCGGGGGGCGGGGGGAGGAGACAAAGTGCCTAGCTGCTCTTTCTCATCCTGCAGATACCCCTTAAACATACCTTACTCTCAAACTCTTCCTGGGGCTGCCAAATTGGTTTCAGAGCCCTAATGGGGCTCTGGGACATGCTGCTTTTCTTTGCCCCATAAATGCTCCCTCAAAATGCATCTTCTCCTTGGAACAGATAATTTTTCATTGTAGGAACCCTTCCGCCCTCTCCAAAACCATGCTTGCTGCTCTCAGCACAGAGGGCGCAGTAAATATTCACCAGCCAACCAATGCCTCTTGCCACGCACACCAGGTGGTGATGATTGAAGCCCCTGTGACCACGCCCTCTCCTCACGTTTGCTCTAATGGAGGACACGTGGAAAGAGGGTTTTTTTTTTTAGGGTTTTTGTTGCCATTGGATCACAGATCCAATTAATAAGCCTGCAGCTTTGGTTTTTAATTTTTAACTTTTGATTTTAGTAATTTTCACTTTTGGGCATGATCTGATAAGTCTGTACATACGTAGACTTCTTTAGGTAAAGGGGTGTGCATAAAATGAAAGTTCCTGTGGGCAGGATTCTCACCTGGCCCTGGTTGGCTAGTTTACTACACATGTGTGGGCAATATGTTGTTATTGACTCTATATAAAGAGCACCACCCAGTGCTCTGGGCACTATACGGTGGCAGGGCTGCAAGGCTGCAGGAGAGCAGAGCAGAGGCCGGAGGCCGGGAGGATGGCTGTGTGGGATGGCTGTGCAGAGAAGCCCAGAGGACGTCTGTGTGGGACCGCTGTGCGGGCAGAGAGGCCTAGAGGCAGAGACCGTCTTGCTGCATGCAGACTCACTCTGAGTGGATGGGATTTTAGTGATTGGCTTGCCACCGTTGGAATAAAGTTGGGTATAACCCTTTCGCCCCAAGAATGTTCTACTGCCATTCGTTTGGTCACACTGAATCCATAGTGAACTTGCCTGGGGCTGAAACCCATTGGCAAGACAAGGGGAATAGTTATTACTATAGAATCTATTTACCTGGGAAATTTACATCAAATTCAAATTTTTTTAACATAAATGCACTCAGCCAGATTTCAATACCTAGCATCTTAATATTATATAAAATGCTATTTTCAACTCATAATTTTTGTAATACACACAAAGCCTTTCTTATATTCAGAATGAGACACTCGATGTTTTAATCAAAAGCAGCTCTGAGAGTTTCTTGGATTTGTAAAGTTCCCCTCTACCAGCAGAAAGAATCCTATCCATGACCTCCTATTACCCTCACTGCAACTTTTTAATGAACAATAAGCAAATAATTACTTCTTAGGAGACAGTGTCCTGAAGGTGCAGTGTGACAGAAACCACAGCCCAGCCCTGCTTCTCTGTCACCCTTGGTGTGTATGTCTGTGCATGCCACATACTTCACCAACCACAATTGCTTTTTTTCCAGCCCTTTTAGCCTCTTTCTCAATATCTGTAATTTCTAGTAAAGTGCCTTTATGCTTTACTGAGGTCTCTCCCACACAGACAGGATGCTGCTTTGCTTTAGCTCTGCAGGCTGGCATGGCCAACACACTCAATGTCACCGTCTCTCCTTTTCCCTTGAAAATTACCACCTAACCCCAGTGTGCGAGTCAGGTGTCCTCACAGAATGAGAATGGAAAAGGCACTCCATTCACTTCAGTCAGAGAAAGAGAGACAGACTTAGCCTGTAAGACTGCATTTCTTTTAAATTTCATTTTGCTTATTCACCTAAGCTATTAGATTTGTGGGCACAAACAGGATCTCTTTGAAGTTAACAAGAGGTCCACTCTGAAAGAAGGCAGGCAGCCATTCCCACACATTTTATGTGTTGGACAAATATAGTTCCAGAACTGTAAATATATTCTGCAATTATACAAAGTTAAACATTTTTCTATCTTTTTTTACTGTATTTAGAAGGAGCATTTTTCTCTAGAAAACATTCTGTAAGACTTTCTCTTTCCAGTTCCCTACCTACCCCCAGCTTTTACCTTTTGAATCAAAGGGTATGATCCCATCAATATAAATGAACAGCTCTTCCCAAGCAAAAATGTGGCCAAAATGAACCATTCCTGCAGGACATGGAATGCATCAGGATACAGCAAAACGAGCAACAGAGCAGGTGCGTGTCAGAGTTGGGGTTATGTTCAGTCCACCACTGAGGTTGTTTTATCTGGGGCCAGTCATTCAAAGCTCAGATTTTCTACATTCACAATAAATGCCGATACTACCTGTCCAATGCTTGTTGTAATGTTAAATGAAGTGGGATATATGCATATGTTCTCAGTGAATCACAAAGGCCCATATAAATAAAAACATCCACTATTTTCTCCTATTACTGACATGTTTTCTAAGCATTTTGTCTTGCTCACTTGAGAAATCAAGAATCATTAAAGAAGGAAAAGTTTCTTAAGACTTTCTTAGCAGCTGGTGAAAGAAGCATTCTCATGGTGTCTGTTGGGGGCAAGAAGCATTCTCATGGTGTCTGTTGGGGGCAGGTTAGGGAGGATTCACTGCTGAAGACACAGGGTAAAGTCAGGCTCACTCGCCTGTTGGTCAGAGGATCTGTAGGTATCTCGGAAACCTGATCAAGGAAAGAAAATGAATAAGTTCTAAGAAAATCCTTAGATATCAGGTTATCTTGACTCCAAATCTATTGAAAACTGCTGGGACTAAAGAAATTTGCAACACCTACTTTTCTTTGTAATATCAACACGATGAATATGTTTTGCTCACTCTTTAAATTTTAATCCTCCATGCATTCTTAGGTGTTGCATTTTTTTTGAGTTCTTAAAAATAGATATGTTTTTGCCACATTAAAAGGGGAACAGAGTTTGAGTGTTGCACTATTAATTATGTGCTGGAAACAAAATTCTGGTCAGACTTTGCAGAAGGTACATACACGCATGCAAATACACCCCCCACCCCCAAGATAAAGGACTTTTCGCATGAGTGGAGACCATAAAGGTTTGTGCCTACTACTCTGATTCTGTGTGTACTTACTCTTGAGGTCCAAATTCCTCGCTCCTGCAGTGATTTGTGTTGTGATTTTTGTGTCGATCTTTACAGTGTGGAGATTGCTGGTGTCCCTTGATATCATTACGTTGTGCCACTGATTGTCATTGAGAGGTTTATTTGAGCTCCCTTTGATGAGATTAGCACCATTTCCCAAATCAAACACATAATGTAAGTACCTAGGAAAAAAGGAAAGGTGGAAAAGTGCTGTCACTTTTTGAATTTTTGATGGAATCAAACTAGATATTAGAAATGGAGATATTTTATTCAGGTTGCTAGAAGTCTTGAGAGAGTTGCATTTAAGTTCAGCTGAAAGACAGTACGAAACACTACTTGGCTTCAGCAAGGATTATTATTCATCATTTTCAATACAGGAAACAGTGACAATGATTTTTTTAAAAGAGACTATATTCCACTCTATGACCTTGGAAGGCAGCTATACTTCACTACTCATTCCCTGCTCCCACCACCTTCCTCATCTTCTGCCGACCACCCAGAACTGGCCGTCTTCACTTCTTGCCGCACTCTCCCTCCATCTTGAACGCCTGTTCTGTATGGAAATGTGCACTCATCCTTCAGGACTCGGCTCAGACATCCTCTCCTTGCCTCATACGTTTTCCTATTTTCCCTAAAGACTCTCCTGGATCTTTGCACATAAATGCCTGGTACATCATTAAGCACATTGAAAATGTACAATAATATTCAGTGAATGAATGAATACCCAAATCAATGAAAAGACACCAAATTTTCATCACAGTGTCAAGGATATTTCCCAAATTCTTCAAGGAATTCTGAGATAGAATTCAGCTTGAGTTAAATGGGATTTTATGGAATTGAAGTAATCTGATTACTTGAATTAGCTTTTAAACTCAGCACAAATTAGCCTACACAATTGTAGATATTTTTTTTTCTAGAATTATAGTGTACATAGGAAATCCATACTTGAAATGTAGGATTCATGGAATGCTTACCAAAATTAGGTACTCAACATTATTTTTACTTCATATATGTAAAGGTAGGCATAAAAGACTCTACTGAATTTCGACTAACTTCATAAGATACATAAGTGATTTGAACAAGTACATTATTTGCACCCACCCCCGACTGCCTGTCATTTTATAAGCCAATGTATATTTTTAGGCATTGAGGTCTGTTTTTGTTAAGTTTTACTTGTCGTTGAAGTGACATACACTCACCCTTTAACTAACTCCACCACGATGAAGTCATTTCCATCCCCACTGTTATACAGAATTAGTCCATCTAGGGATGTTGTTTTAAACTGGAAGAAAAGATGCATAGAAGTGTAGGCTTGCAATAAGAAGCATTCTCATGGTGTCTGTTGGGGGCAGGTTAGGGAGGATTCACTGCTGAAGACACAGGGTAAAGTCAGGCTCACTCGCCTGTTGGTCAGAGGATCTGTAGGTATCTCGGAAACCTGATCAAGGAAAGAAAATGAATAAGTTCTAAGAAAATCCTTAGATATCAGGTTATCTTGACTCCAAATCTATTGAAAACTGCTGGGACTAAAGAAATTTGCAACACCTACTTTTCTTTGTAATATCAACACGATGAATATGTTTTGCTCACTCTTTAAATTTTAATCCTCCATGCATTCTTAGGTGTTGCATTTTTTTTGAGTTCTTAAAAATAGATATGTTTTTGCCACATTAAAAGGGGAACAGAGTTTGAGTGTTGCACTATTAATTATGTGCTGGAAACAAAATTCTGGTCAGACTTTGCAGAAGGTACATACACGCATGCAAATACACCCCCCACCCCCAAGATAAAGGACTTTTCGCATGAGTGGAGACCATAAAGGTTTGTGCCTACTACTCTGATTCTGTGTGTACTTACTCTTGAGGTCCAAATTCCTCGCTCCTGCAGTGATTTGTGTTGTGATTTTTGTGTCGATCTTTACAGTGTGGAGATTGCTGGTGTCCCTTGATATCATTACGTTGTGCCACTGATTGTCATTGAGAGGTTTATTTGAGCTCCCTTTGATGAGATTAGCACCATTTCCCAAATCAAACACATAATGTAAGTACCTAGGAAAAAAGGAAAGGTGGAAAAGTGCTGTCACTTTTTGAATTTTTGATGGAATCAAACTAGATATTAGAAATGGAGATATTTTATTCAGGTTGCTAGAAGTCTTGAGAGAGTTGCATTTAAGTTCAGCTGAAAGACAGTACGAAACACTACTTGGCTTCAGCAAGGATTATTATTCATCATTTTCAATACAGGAAACAGTGACAATGATTTTTTTAAAAGAGACTATATTCCACTCTATGACCTTGGAAGGCAGCTATACTTCACTACTCATTCCCTGCTCCCACCACCTTCCTCATCTTCTGCCGACCACCCAGAACTGGCCGTCTTCACTTCTTGCCGCACTCTCCCTCCATCTTGAACGCCTGTTCTGTATGGAAATGTGCACTCATCCTTCAGGACTCGGCTCAGACATCCTCTCCTTGCCTCATACGTTTTCCTATTTTCCCTAAAGACTCTCCTGGATCTTTGCACATAAATGCCTGGTACATCATTAAGCACATTGAAAATGTACAATAATATTCAGTGAATGAATGAATACCCAAATCAATGAAAAGACACCAAATTTTCATCACAGTGTCAAGGATATTTCCCAAATTCTTCAAGGAATTCTGAGATAGAATTCAGCTTGAGTTAAATGGGATTTTATGGAATTGAAGTAATCTGATTACTTGAATTAGCTTTTAAACTCAGCACAAATTAGCCTACACATTTGTAGATATTTTTTTTTCTAGAATTATAGTGTACATAGGAAATCCATACTTGAAATGTAGGATTCATGGAATGCTTACCAAAATTAGGTACTCAACATTATTTTTACTTCATATATGTAAAGGTAGGCATAAAAGACTCTACTGAATTTCGACTAACTTCATAAGATACATAAGTGATTTGAACAAGTACATTATTTGCACCCACCCCCGACTGCCTGTCATTTTATAAGCCAATGTATATTTTTAGGCATTGAGGTCTGTTTTTGTTAAGTTTTACTTGTCGTTGAAGTGACATACACTCACCCTTTAACTAACTCCACCACGATGAAGTCATTTCCATCCCCACTGTTATACAGAATTAGTCCATCTAGGGATGTTGTTTTAAACTGGAAGAAAAGATGCATAGAAGTGTAGGCTTGCAATGTGGCTAAGGCAACATAGCTCGATTTGGTCTTGAAGGTGACAGGGTCTGCTATGATGTTCCTGAAGCCAAATCTGGCATTAAGCTCGCAGTAATCTATGTCACCATTTTTACACAAGTCAATGTATGCCATTCCATTAAATGTCAGGCTCTGCAGGTGTCCAATGAAGTTGGAGGGGACGGAAGACAGGTACCGCCGTTCTGTGATGATTCCAGTCTCTATGTTATGAAACTCCAGCCTTGTGTGATCACCTGCCATTTGACCTAAACGGGAACACAGTATGTTATTATTTTCTGGATCTGAGGCACTTTCGACTTTCGACTTCCATAACAATATCACATTTTAAAATACAAAGATCCAAGTATCTCCTTGATATTCCAAAACATGGAAGTGATGTTAAAGGGTGAGGCTGGACAATTAATAACACTTTCTTAGGTCAGATTTTAGTCTCTGTCCAAATTTTAGTATTCACCAAAATCATCCTCTTTAGCCAACATTACAGAATTTTTTAAAAGTAGAAGAAAGCAAGCAAAGAATCAAGAAAGGAAGGAAGAACGGGTAAGAGGGAGGGAGAGAAAGGAAAGGGAAGGAAGGAAGGGAGAGGGACAAATTAAGGTCAGCAAGAATCCTAAATCATCCTGCCTTCATGGTTGGGTGATGTTTTTCTTTATAAATAATGTTCTTCATAAAAAAAATATGACTGTATATTTTCCTATACCCACTAGAAATAATGAAGAGCTGATTACTATTCTTCCAATAACGAACATGAAAGTGTGTTTGAAGTTTAATATGTACTTTACTCCTTCTCTTTTCTGTGCGGAGTAACTCCTGTCGTCTCCCCTAGAATTGGACTACCAGCCATGTTGGACTCCCTGTGGATCCCTTCTCTCCTTGCACTTACATTTTGGATACTTAAGTCGAGCACTATACCAAATTCAAGACACGTGCAATTTTGAGAGTACAAGTGATATTAGCCCACATTACCACAAGATGTAATCCTGAGACACGCTGATGTGAAGTTTGTTTGTATATCTACTTAGTGATTCACTTTTCAAATCAGCCCCCATGCCTTCCTCTCAAATTTCTCAGTCAACCCCACTAAAAGCCAGCCTTTACCTCTTTACCTTCAGAGTAATAATTTTATCTGCCTCCAAGGTTGAAGGCAACATAAATGAAGATGTGTACTTGTTTTTAATGTACAACATAAATATTCATACTGCTAGTGATTCCTTCCCAGCATCCTGCTCTAGGTCTAATTAAACTGTCATTCATTTTCTTCTGAAACCTAAAAGGTCATTTAAATTGTAACCAAGGTCTTCCAGGTGCTAACATCACTATTCAATTTGGCATAATTGGAATATTTTATCGAGCTTACCCTATCCTACCATCTATGATATGAATGAAAATATTAATTAGAGCCAATCCCAGTATGAGCTCCTGAGAAAACGTACTGAGCCTGCTTCCCAGATGTAATGAAGACTGAACACCCACCTACATGGGGCCCCTCCAGTCAGTTTGACAGGTTTCCATTTCTTTAGGCAAGACAGTAAAATAGAAGATGACATTTTTAAGGAAATGCTGTAAATAAGATATAAAAAAGCGTACTTTTTACTGTGCAAGAAAAAATTGTCTACATTCTTAATTGACTTTGATGCTTATAAATGTATTGCTTTAAAAATGTAAAAAACTGTCTTCTAAGCTGTACTTAACTCTATTTAATTTTCATACCTCTTTACTAGTCCTTGATCCTGGTAACAACAGTCCTGCCTTCCCTTGACATGTTGTCTCTATAGCCATTAGTATGTTCTGATTCCATCTCTGCAAATCTTTTTTTTTAATACAAAAAATACCACTGTAAATAATTGTCTCTCCTCCATGCTGCTCCTCACTATGCCTCTTTCTTCTCTACCAGATGCAAAAATACCATTAAATCCCTAGCAGTTCCAGTTTCTGATATGACATAATTTCTCTCTCCTTCTTCATTCTTTTGTTCAATAACCTTAATACTACTCCATGGGGAACTACCTCTCTGATAGCAAATAAAATTGGTCTTTAATATTTTTCAAGTATAAATCTCAAGGGACACCAGTGACATTCAATTAACAGGTTATATAGAATGAAGAATAAGAAAACCTAAAAAGACTCAACTCACTTGGGCTTTTCTATCTCCTTGTGCTGATTTTATCATTATCATTATATTAAAATCTGAGTTTTAACTCAGTGAAACCACCCCAACCCTGAAACTGTCATGTTTCTTCTTAAAAGCTCTATTAATGAGCCAACCAATAATAAACAAATACCCAGAAACATGTTTCTAATACTTGAAATTAAATAATACCACAAATTGTCAAGTTCCTGGCAGTTCTGAAATAGGTAATTTTGTTCTGCAGGACTAAGTTCAGTGATAAAAATAACACATAATGTCTGTTTCCTTTTCTCAATGGAATATAATAAGTATGTAGAGCATAAATAATAAAAAGGTAGTAAAACAGTGTTGGAGGAACCATGGCCCAGTTACAAGAAAAATCATTATGACACATGTTCAAGAGCCTATTCTTTCTTTAATAAGCATATATAAATCACATTGACATTAATGGCAGATATGCTGGCTCATGGGGGAGAATTAGCACCTAAAAGCCATTATCCACTAAGAAAACATTAACTGCTACCTTTTAAAAATTCTTTTTTTCCTCAGAATTTATTCCAGTGTTTAATCCTCTGTCAGTAATATAGCCAACCCTACTATTATATACATATATTAAGAAAAATAAAGGCTATTGAAGGAAAAGATTTTTAAAGCTCCAATCATTTATAAATGCAATGTCTTTTCCAGGGATTTAGTGGGAAGGAGATTTTGGAATTAACAAAATGCCTCTGATCAAAGTGTCTGGTTTTTAGCAGGTTGACAAAATCTCTAATAAGAAACAACCGCAATAGAAGGCAGTAGAGCATTGAGAAGACAAGTAGTGACTCTATAGCATCTTACTCTGCTGATGGACAGTGACTGCAATGGGGTCGGGGGGGACTCGATAATAATATATATGGGTGAATGTTGAAACCACAATGTTGCTCATGTGAAACCTTCATAAGATTGTATATCAATGATACCTTAATAAAAAAAAAGAACCCCAACAACCACCTGCATAGTGTGTATGCACAGAAATATCAATAGCTAAACCAAACCTTTAAAAAGATACCAAGGTCAGTTACCTTCTGTTTAGCTTTGCTCAGAGTTCAGAATCTGCTGCAGAACCAAATTACCCGCAAGCCTTACATCGACTTGCTAATTCACTCAAAGTACTGAGTGTGCGCACACAGACACACACACACAGACACAGACACAGACACACACACACACACACACACACACACACATCAGGTACTATGTTAGGTGATGAAGAAATAAGAGCTGGGTAGGCTCTTGTTCTCAGAAAATCCATGGTCTATTGGGGTAAGGCAGACAAAAACAGGTAAGGAAATAGTTGTATAATGATAACATTGAGAAAAATGCTATGAATTTGATAAGCAGGTATTGTGCTGGTAAATATGGAATGGGAACAAATGCCTGGGTTGATAGTTAAAATAAGTAGAAAGAGTTAAAAAAGAAAACTATGCTAAGAACTGGTGAAGAGGAATGGGGAGATGTATTCCAGGAAGGGGGCACAGATGAGTAAAGGCTCAAGGGTGAGAAAGAGCTAGAGAGTGTAGCAGGGGAGTCATGACTAAGCAAGGTCAGTGGCTCACATGAGATGGGAAGGAGAGTCAGGGGCCAGATATCACATACAACACCTCCTAATTATATTAGTAGTTATCAAAGGTTTTAGGCATGCAGAAGACATTAGTCTGTATGTGTGTGTGTGTGTGTGTGTGTGTGTGTGTGTGTGTGTGTGTGTGTGTGGTGTGTGTGTGTGTGTTTCATTTCTCTGATGTGGGTATAGTAGATTGGAAAAAATTGGAAGTAGCGTAGTTATAGCAGAAATAGGAAAAATAAGGATGAAATGAGATAATTTTGCAGATACAGTCTGAAGGATTGACCAGTGCTGTGCAGGATGATAGACAGGAGGGAAGTAAAGGTGATGCCTCGAGTCCAGGCTTGAGTAACCAGATATAGGGTGAATACTGTTCAACAAAGGACACACCCATTAACAATCACACTACAAAATGCGCAATTCCAGGTTTTTTAGACAGGTGAAATCCAAGCACTCCCTCCTTAGGGACCCCAGATAGTTTGCAGACCTCATCTGAGTCCTAGAAAATCTCTCCCCTGGCAACATGCGCCCTTATCACCCTAGGTGAGGTGCGAACATTCCCAAGGATGGCCTGAGTATGTATTATCCTGTGTTCAACAGACACTTGACTTAATAGTATATATAACTCAAAGTTGGGGTCAAAGTAGGACTTCATATGAAAGGCCTCTAGTGCTTTTCTTTAATTTGTCTCCTATTTAGTGATTTCTGATTTGTTACAAAATGTAATTAGAAATCCCCATTGCTTTCCCAATTCATGCTTGGCTTCAAGTGGCCACAAGAATGTTTTTAAAAAATTCCATTAGAAACTTAGGTTTTAATGGCAAGGTTCCACCGTCATCATTGGGAACCTTATCTATGCTATATAAATCAAGGTTGACTTTTTTGTTCTTATTGTCAGCTTTCATGGGGTCTCTGACAAAACAAATTCTTCCAATGCATGTATCAAAATAACCCTGAAAACTTACCAAGTAAAAGTAAATCATTGTGAAAAAAATTGTCTTTAGTTCTGAGCAAGATGCTGGGAGCTGGGGGAAGAGCGGGGAGGGGTGGGGTACTGGGGAGAGAATGCAGGATTTGGGTGAATCATCATGGTTTGCTTGGCTTTTATTCCCATTCATCTTTAAACTCTGAGAAAGAGCATGTTGGTTTCCATAAGTGATAAAAGTTTCAACTCCTACAGAGCAGAGAGTAGAATCTAATTTCTGCTCTGAGGCCTTGGCAATTTTGAGAGAGAGTAAATGGCAGACTAATTTACTGAAATGCTAGTTTATGTTTTGTTCTCCATTTGATTATAAGTAGCTAGCCAAGTCTCTTTTCGCACTCTGCATCAAAGGCTTTTTCTTGGCAGAAAGTGGGAGTTACTGGAAAACTATGTCTTCTCCAATCTTTTGTGAAGGCCTGATCTACAAGGTATTCCATAAAGGAAAAAGAAGTGAGCAGAATGCATTTGAGGGCTGAAAGAGACAATGAGATTACCACCGACAGGGTGATACAAAGACAATTAAGAACAGTGCACACATGATTTGGTGGGCTAAGACATATCATTTTAATAATACCAACTGAAAAAAATCTGTTAAACAAATGTATCTGTATATATTTGTCTTCCAAAGTTAGGGATTTTAAAAGGGAATTGCTTTTCTTTTAGATCATAAGCCAAACTTCACCAACGGCCTATGAATTCCTAATGAAGTCTTAGGTGCTAGAGTCCTTAATAACAACCAGTGAGGAGATAAAGGTAACTTAACCATGAAGAGACACACACCCATGCCCAGAAGCAGACGTGTGGAAACATATGATGTCAGGTCATGAACAAAATCTCCCAACAGTCAGTTCTGAGTTCTCCTTTGAAACTGTCACTTATTTGTTTCCATATCTATAAGCAAGTTACATCAGTATAAGTCCCCAATAACTCTGCTTCCTAACATTATGATTGCTGGAGGTAGATAACTATACAACCATTTAAGTGAACAAAGGAATTATTCATTCCTGGAAGTTGAAGATGGCCACTCACTAAGGCCGAACATAACTATTCAAGCTTGTTCATAACTATTGAGTTATGAACTCAACATAACTATGATGAACTCAATTTCTTAACATAACTACTGAGAAGCTTGGTAGGAATCTATGCAATTGAAAAGATACATCTTAAATTTTTTATTAGAATTAGATGGCAATTCATATAGGGAACATTTCTGGAACTTTCTATGTTACACTGATATTATTCACACTCTATCCTTTCTTAATTCAAAACATTTTGCATTGGTTTTAAAAGCATGTTGATGTTCTACACAGTGTAATTAAATACATAGAATGGGGAGATCAACTGAAGTAAATGAAACTAATTGTATTTAAAGTGAATACTGTAACTACACTAATGTGAAAGGAGGGAAGGGAGCCACATTATAATCCAAGTTACTTACAGACTCAGCATTTGACTACATATGTTAAGCTTTAGGCAATGATGAATGAGAAGAATTACAAACTAATGCTGAATTCCTTTCAGTTGGTTTATTAACTATAGTGGTATGGACAATTTAAAGTAATTCTGAAACTACTTTAGATGCATTATTGGATTGAGCAAACAAATTATATCATTAGAAGCCAGAATTCCTCCTTGGAAAAAGGGACTTGGAAACACGGAAGAGGGGAAGTCAAGAAACAATCTTATAGATAGGGATGTCCCAGTGTGAACTGGTATTTTCTAAAATATGTATATGTGCATGTTTATGTGCACATGTAATTTATGGGTATGTATGTGTGTGTATTTACTATATATGCAAGTGTATGTGTATATACTTGAATATTTTTCCTATCTTTGCCTGAAGAAAATGTCAGGAAGCAAAGACACTTCAGTAGCACTGAGCACAGCAACCCCCCATCCACATCTTGTTCTACATTATCATTCTCCACTAAATGCCAAGTGAATGTCTGATTCCAGGGCTGAGGTGTAGTAGGTAAAGTTGTGCCTGGGATATCCTATTATAACAGAGAGTAAAAAGTGCTAAAAAAAAAGAACTGTTGGAGTGGAGGCATGTCACATGATCATAGAGAACAACTTTAATGGAACTCCCTCACACTGGCCCAAATTGGGACAATTTGAGCACCACAGTAATTAAGTACAATAATTATAAAGTGTGTGAAAAACAGAAATTTGTGGGTCCATCCGATAAGGAAGGAAGAAGTGAGGAGGGAAAGAAGAATGGAAGGGAGAAAGGGAAAGGAGAAAAAACAAGGGAACGGAAAGAAGGGGGCGCTCTGCTTATTGTAGGACGCTACGTGCTGACAGGAAATGTGGAATGAGCACTGGCGTCCAAAAATAATCATTCTGTAACTACTGTGATAAAGACTGGATCAGGCAAAAATCTTCAATGGATGTTCAATCTAGGGTGAAATTTTGACGGGGTACAGGATATTGTCATAGTATTAAAATGTCTCTCCACAGACAGTTTATTACTTGCAAGGGAGAAAACATACTATTTACACAGTGGAGAAACTGACAACATGTTGACCAAGAGAGTAAATTAAATGATTCATCAAGGACACGGACATCACGTGACACCAGGTGGGCCACTGTAAGAAGGCCATGTCAACAATGCAGTATCTCATCTAAGAATATAAAACCTGAATTTCATCATAAGGAAATATCAGACATGCACAAAATGAGTGACTTACACTTTACTTGATAAAAAGTGGGGGAAATATATATTATAAAAATGTCAATATCGTGGAAATATTTTAGATCTAAAAAGACTATGGAGACATGAAAATCAAATGCATTATCTGATCCAAGACTGCATGCTGTGATGGAAGGGGAAATGCTATAAAAGACAACATGGGTCAACGACAAAATTGGAATATGGATGATAGAACAGATAAAATAAATTGTATCAATGAAAAATTTACTGCAATTGGTAACTCTTACTTTGTTATGTAAGGGGATATACCTGTTTTTAGAAAATGCACACTGAAGTATTTAAGGGTAAGGGACTATTTTGTATCTAACTTATCCTTCTCTAGTTAAGAAAAAGAAGAGAGACAGAGAATGCCAAAGCAGATGGGATAAAAATGTTCCTAAGGGTAAATGTGTATCCAGTGTCCTCTGTACTATTTTTACTTTTGATTTTTTTTGTAAATTTGAAATTATCTCTACATGAAAATAAAATAAAATGTGTTGCACCATTCTTTCGTTTCTCTCCCTTCATCCACTGTAGCTCAGGCCTTATACTTTACATCCTGAAGCATCTAGTATACTGCCACAGGGTCCATTCTGCCAAAAATACTCTGTCAGCTGATTCTTGTGCTTATTAAATGCAGTGACTTCCAATTGCCTGAAAGGCCAATGAATTACGAATTCCTTAGTCTAGAACACTGACCCATTTGCCCCAAAAAGTCGTTCTAGCTGTGACAACCACCACATGGTACATGAAACAAAACACAACTTCTCCATTCCCAAACATTAGTCTGTCTAGTCTCATCAGAGCCATTCTGCCAGAATACTATCCTCCATACTTTTATCATCTGCATTATCCTTGCTTTAAAGTCCAGTTTCAATATTATCTATTGCTTTAAGCTACCCCTGAAACCAATATCCTCAACCTTTCTTCTGAACTCTAAGAACATGAATTGCTTACATCAACCATTCAGTACATCATATACTGACTTGGACTGCCAGTTATGTGAGTTTTTTTTATGTGAAAATATTATCTGTATAATATAATGTTAAGTCTCAGAAAGTACTTATCATAGATTCCTACACTTATTGAGATATTAATGAATATAAAGCAATGGACCATGAGTCCAAAGATCAAACAAATAAACAAAAAATAAAAATAAAAACACAGACATAGGACTTCTTCTCAGTTCTGGTAGCAATGCCATTTCAAGAAACCTAAGTCACTCAGGCTGTGTGAGATCTGAGACATGCTTAGGAACTCAAGAATGTACCACTTTGGTTCTCCTCTGTCCTTGTCCCTGGCAGCTATTTCTTGCCATCCTCTTGCACATGACCTTAGACCCCACCTACTCATTTTACTCCTTTTGATAAAACCCAGATTGTACAAATAATGATGCTTGACCTATCTTCTTCCAAGAACTGCCCTTGCCCAAAACTTGCTGAACTTCAGCTGGCACTCCTGCCAAGGCCCTGCAAAAATTTTGCCTTCCTTCTCTAAGTTCACAGAGTTCTTTTAGAGCCTTGTCATGCTTAACAATATTGAATAAAGGCTTATGCTAAAAGCCCTTGCTTATTTCCTTCTTCAGAGAACAAAATGACATAATTTAGCAATTTTTTCTAAACAATGCATGGACCAGCTGTGTAAGAGTCCTCTGGAGATATTTTAAGAAAACAAAACAAAACAGAACTTAAGAAACAAAACTGGGCTCCTCCAAGATTTCCTGTGGTGTCAGGCTAGGAACTGGTCCTTTTAAATATCTTCAAGTGATTCTGAAACAAATTTAAGTTGTACCCATATGTAGAAAAAACTCTGGAACGTCATAAAGGGCTAATGAAATATAAGATAGTAAGAGAGGTCTGAGTTGGCAAGTTTTCTTCATTTGAATTTAGGCATGATTCTCTCAAAAGTTAAAATCCTATACATGATATTCCCATACTGATGGAATCCACTGATCTCTGATTAATGGGAACTGCCTCAGGATTGAATGTAGAATAGAGACTTCAGGGCACAAGGACCATCTTGGGCTCTGTACTAAAATAATTAACATGAGATGTTCTCAAAAAAGAAAAAGGAACTAATATCCTAGCAGGTCATGTGTTTGGAGTTATTTTCAGCAAAGAGAATAAAGGCACACTGATTCCTCTTCATTTGGTTTCCCACTGTTTCCAGGGTAGACCTTTATCTCTCACCTCAGTTAGGAATCTACAAATTAGGGACTGAACTTGGCATTCTTAATGTTAGAGTTTAACCACCAGAAGTGAATGTCAAAAATGGTCTATTATAGTTTATAATGAAAAAAGGTTCACTTGACTGAATGATAACATATCTATAAATTTATCTAAAAGTTAAAAGTATAAACTTTTGCTGCTATTCATTGCCAAAATATATAAGAAACAAATAAGTTGAATAGAAATTGGTATCCAAACAATGACCTCAATATTTTGACACCTTAAGATATTTATCAAGTCACAAAATTACAACACACTATAAATTTTTGAATTATTAAACAGATTAGAACATGCCATAAAAGTGTTGTTCATTTGAGAGAGGAAACAGTGAACATGCTGCTTATTAAATGGAATTGTTGCTGGAAAAAAATGGTATAAAAAATGAACTGCGTGTATAATCTTCAGATTATACACTTTTGGTTATATATATGGTTTTCAAAGTCATCTTCAAGAAATGGGTAAGTCTAAAACTTCAGCATAAGTAAAGGCAATGGGGTGCAGGGGGTTTACCTGTCATGGCCTGTTGGTCATCCACTGTTAACTTTAAACTTTTTCCTCGACGAACCACACGCACTGTGTGCCATTCATTATCATTGAGGTTATAGCCAGCAAAAAGTGTCTCGGGACCTTTGCCTGTAGAATATGCCAAACAGTCATTAAGGACACTCAGAATCAGTCAAACAAATGAACCTCACAGAGAGTGAGAAAAAGAGTCAAAGAAAGGGGGAAAGTGAGGGAGGAGGAGGAGAAGGAAGAGAGAATGAAATAAGAGAAAGACGAGAGAGACAAAGGAGAGAGAGAAAGAAAAAGAGAGACTGGCTGATCAATTTTCAAGCCCATTAGAGTCATAGCAAGCAAGGAAAATGACAAGTTAACAGACATTCAGGTGTGACACTTTAAGAAGGATCTTTAACCTTATGCATTGATCTAAGATAACCAAATGAACCCGTTGTCATAAATAGGCACAGTCAATATAGCATCGGGAAGTCTCCCAAATTTACACACACTTTTTTTCCCCTAAGGAATTCCCTGATATTTTGCAGTTATCCCTTTTCGCTAATGAGATAGTTAGCAGTCATGTAATCTCTCCGCTTGGAGAGATCTGACCATAGGTCATTAGTTAACCATTTTCCAGGAATGGCAACTGTCTTATTAGACTCTGATGAGGAGGCTGTTCTGCATACAATACTGTGTGATGGCTGCTCTTCACTCTTACATGACATACCTCCAAAGCTCACCAAGTTGTTAAATTAACAAGATGCTGTGTCTGAAGACCAAATCTAGTGGAGGTACAGAAAGTGGATATAGGTAAAATATTGACTTCTAGGGAGTGAAGAGAAAAGAAGTCACAGCTAATAAAGGGTAAAGTGTTGAGTGACAAGGGAAAAAAAAGTGAGATCTAACAGGAGGAGAGGGCAGGGAGTCCCTTCTAAGGACCAAAGCAAAGAGGACAAAATGTGTCATAAACTAGGGAAGCAACTGCCAGTGGATGTATGTAAACCTATGCAAATAGCATTTAAATTGACTTACAATAGATTATTTCAGTGTTTTGGAAATTGTTGAAATGAAAAAATTAGACAAATGTCTCTTTTCCACTTAAAAAAAAGCAAGGAAAAATAGCTTTTAATATAACTGGAATTTTTATTTTAAAAAATGAGCATTTCTATTAATCTGACATGATTAGTTGAGAAAAAATAATGAAAAAAATTTAAAGATACATTATTTAGTGATGAATTTTCCTCATTTTTAAAGTACAGAAATTTGTTGGTATGTTAAAATAACAAAAGACATGGCATCATTGAGTTCATGACTTTTAACTGATTCAGAATCAGAGTTGGGTTCACAATTTCTTCAATCAAATTCTACCAGCAAAACCCCAATATCCAAGGATCACTAAAGGATGTATGAAAAAAAAACAAGGAGAAGGAGAGAGAAAAGAAAAAAAGAAAAATAAATAAATAAGGGAACCAAATAGAAGAAGCCTCAGTAGTCTGTCTAACAAGAGATCACTGTTTACTTTTGGGGTCACAGGCTAGCCACCCAGGCCCCTGATTTCTCTCTGAGGATGTTGCGGATACCTGGTTCAGTCTTCCTTGGTTGGGGTTTCTCTGGAGTTTCAAAGGAGCCAGGGATATGAGTTAAATTTTGCAAGATGAACTGCCTCATGTCTCTAAACAGGACCATGATTAAGATTAGAAATCACCTCTTTTTGTTTCTTTAGAAAAGTTAAATTACACATCTGGATACAGGAATAAAAAATAGTCTAGATAGAACAATTTTGAGAGATTGATCACTAAATAATTAGAGAAAGCTTGTTAGTTCAGCAATTGGAAAAATGCTTTGAGACCAAATGTTGAAAGCAAGTTCAAGGATCAAAGGAACTCTTTCTAGTTTCAACAGTGAAGAAAGAAGTGTTTAATAACTGCAGAATCTTAGCTTCCTACTGGCAGGAAGGGTCATTTTTAGCTTTGATCTTTGACAAGAGAATATATCATTTTAAAGTCCCTTTTATAGGACAGATCTTGTTTTTCTTAGAAATGTGTGCTTTTGAAGCAGCCTCACTCCCATTCTCTCAATTTTAAAAGTATTTTGTCAAGGAAAAGAAATATAAGGGTTCTATCATCATTATACCCCATTCTGGGCTTGATCTTGCAGTAAAGTCATAATGCTTAATCTATGAAACTATTTCCATAACAACAGGCACAAATCCAATTAAAAATAACCCTTTGGTTAATGAAAATCTCTGTAGGCCACCTTCAAGCTCCTTCCTTGCATTATTAAAAATGTAAAGAGATTGATTTTGGAAGACAAAGTTTTTTAAAATGCACTTAATAGTTCAATACAATTGTATCTATGTAACATGAAGTATAGTGGAGAGTGTACTGGACAAAGAGTTAACTAGTCCTTGATTTGCTATTAAGAAAGAAGTTGGGGGCTGGTAAATACTTTTTATGTATCAGATATTTATCTATCAACTTATTTCATCTGTTTGTCCAGAACATCTATTACATATATCAAGATCCAGAGGTATTGAAAGTTACCATTTTTGGTTTCTGCATTATCAGCCCTCCAGCATGCATTCTCAACACACCTTTAATAACAAAATCCAAATTCATAGACTCTCTCCTGAAGATTCTGGAGGCTGTTTCCTCTTATGTCATGTGGGTTATAGAACTGACTGCATTTCCTTAGGTCTATTTATCAGAAAGCCAAGATTTAGGATTTGTATTTAATTTCAGCAACTTGACTCTTGCCTTTAAAAAAAAGAAGTTGTATATTGGTTTTTCTCCCCATTTAATTTAAATTATCTTTTATTAATCATGTAAATTCTGTTAGAACGTTTTAGGGACCAAATCAGTATTTAATGAAGAAAAAAGATAACCTCCATGCAAAGTTAGCAGAGATTATAACAAGCCTTTATTGACTAATTTCAGGTTTGTTTGTAACTGTATATTTACTTTCATATTTATGATGAATATTTGGGAACAAATTATATATATATACACATATATATATGTGTATGTATATATATGTGTGTGTGTTTACACACACACACACACACACACACACACACACTAACTTTGGATACTTTTTGGAAGAAAGCCTTGAGTGCAAATGTCCTATGAACTACTCTTACTGGTTTTTTAAATGTTAAGAAAAAAATAGCAAAGAGTAATAGAGAACAATAAAATAAAGCTATGGAATATACGGAGCAATGTGATCAAAAATGTCTAGTAGACTAAAATGACAGCTGTCTCTGGAGATGAAAGAAATTCAAATCCCTATCAATCATATTTTGAATTTTAAAACACTTAGCTGAGTTTTATGCCACAAATCTGAGACTAATTGCATATGCTTTAGAGAGTTATCTCCCTCTGCTGGCATATTTTAAAGATGCGAACTACATAAATGGACTATCTGCAACAGGGACCCTCTTTGTTAGCACAGTTCAAGCCAGTTGGTTCTGGACTCCTTTTTGTTGCTTTAAACATCAACTGTTAGGTAATTTCTATTTTATAACTCCATCTAGTTATTTGAGTTGGCTTATGTCTGCAGTTGGGTCTAACCTTGGAGAGCTGCCGGAAACACGCCACACAAACATCTCTGTCATTTTTATAACTCATACCAACCCTATTCTATTATCTACAAAATAAACTTCAGTATCTGTAGCTGCCTCATCTTCTGCTCCATATCTGGATAAGTATTATAGCTCCAGGCAAATGAATAAACAAGGTTTAAGTCATCTATTAAGAAACATTTAGCTTTTATAGTTTTGACATTGATTGTACCCATTTATGACAGACCAGGATAAATATCTGATGTAAATAATTTCCAATGTGAAAAACATACATTGTAAGAAATATAATTTATCTTTTAAGAAAATAACTATTTACAACACAGTAAAGATGAACACAACTTATAAAAATATTGCTCAAAGAATGTTTTAAAATAGCTATCTTTAATCTAGCACTACTGGAAAGTTTAGGAAAAAGCATAATATAATATGCCTAACATAATGAAAGGAAAAATTTGGACTGTGACTTTATTTTATTTTAAGTAAAAAAGATCATTTCCAAGAAATGCTTATCACATAATAGTATAGCTTGCAGATATAAAATTAGGTACTAAGAAGTTAATATGCTTTTAAGTAAGCATTATAAATGCAGAATGTATTCACAGTTGGTGTAACAAAAAGGAATATATTGATACTTATTTAAACATGTCTTATGCAACAGCTACACAATGCAAACTATCTGAATGAAAAAATAAAAAGTATAAAAAGGCACACAGGTATTGAGCATTTGGAAATGTACAAATATTTAATTCAATATTCCATAACAGCCTTAGATCATAGTTACTAATGCAGAGATTATCTAAGTAAATATATCCCTCCTCATCTGAGTACAGTATTGTAATAGTTACAGCATTTCTTTTTATGAAAAGACCAAGAAGAACATATATTTATGCATAATATAAGAAACATTGGCCTCAGCTAGGTTTTATTTTTCATTTCTTAACATAAATACATTGAATGTCATTAAATACGAGACTGAATTTACAAAACTTAGCTGTCTCTCAGTATTTTGGGGGTATTCTTGTCCAAACCTCTGAAAAGAAGCATGTAAGAAAAATAAATAAATCTAGGTTTATGGCTTTGTTAGGTTTTCTCCTTCCTTTATTTTCACTAAAAAGTGCTACTAATTTAACTGGGAAATCTTACAATGCTTGAAAATCTACTTGGACTTCCTTTTTTTAAAGAAATACGGAATGCAAATGTTTTGCAACTTGCTCTTTAATTTTAGGAGCATATTGTAAACATTACGTCCTGAATGTGACAAAGGAATATGATAATGAATATTTTGCCTTTAGAGTTGTGGAACTGTAGCCTCTCATTTGTTTTGGTCTTTTTTTCTTTCCTTGGTGATTGCACCAAAGAAGGTTATGGACAAGTAATACATGGTAATTCCTTCAACCATCATGTAAAAATTAGAATGATAATATATATTTTCTTCTCACCAATGATATGATGATTTACCAAATCTTCTTTATTTTGAACTTTAGTATTACAATAACAGTGTGAAATTGTTTTCTTTTATCATTAGCTTATTTATCAGGCTATCTTTTAGTCACTAAACTGAGTATTTAGCCATTTATTTTAGTAATGAGAAAAATATTGAGATTACTCCTTTGTTCTAAGATGTCCTTGGATCAAAGTCTTTGGTAATGAATGACTTGCCTTACTATTCAGAAAGTGCTCTAAAAAGGTGCTTACCCTGTTATAGTAATGGCTATTAGTAATTAAATCTTAAACTCAAGTTAACTTACTTAATCTGAGGAGATAGTATTTGCAGGTCCCCTGGAGCTGGTTAATCAGATATTAATAAATTTTTCTTTGAGGAACTGAAATGGTAGGCTACTTTTGTATATTTGTTTCATCTAATTTCCAATTAATGAATACTATTTCAAATTAATAACTAAATGTTTCCTGAAAAGAGACCTGTTCTATTTTATAGGTATAAATTACTGGGAAATTTAGTTTCCAAATACAATAAAATATACATAACCATAATACAAATACAAATATGATGTAGTTAGTATAAGTCTAAATTGTCCTAAATAATGGTGGGATTGGTTTCGATCATATCTTAACAGAGCATTTACTTTTATTCACTTTTGATTGCTTATTTTAAATTGTTAGACTAGAGAAAAAAGTCATCGTAGAAAATTTTGAATTTATGGATGACGAGCAAAAAAAATTAAAAATAACCCACAATCTATTTAGCTGCTCCTATAAACAGTTTGAGGGATATCATTCCAGAAGCATTGTCGAAAAGCAATTTTGTTACTGTGGTTCTTTGTCAGTTTCATAATAGATAATCCCCCAAATAGGAAATATCAATTATTTCTTCACTGCCTATTGGTTGAACTAATTTATTTAATTGAAGTTTAAAGAATTGATCAAATGCCAAAATATTATTTTTGACTGTGTAAAGTTCTCAGTTGATTTATTGAACTGAAACTCAATAAATAATTTTTAATTATCTTAATTTATAAATGCAGGATCTATAAGACACTTCAGGAATCTTATTATCTATATCTTTTCCAGAATCTTATGTGGTTATTATTGCTATTTTTATTTTTTTTATGTTATTGTAATTGTTGACATGCTCTACCTCCATTTTGGCCTGTGTATTTTAATTTTATTAGGTGAATATGTGTATGCTCTAAGGGAATATTTTCATAACTTATTCAATAATTTATTTTTCATTTTCTTTTAATGGATATTTTCATAATGCATGAAATATTCATAACAGCAATTTGAAGTCATGCCATTGGAATATGTTAGATCTATGTTTGAGTTTTAGTTTTCACATATGTAAATCATCTCCTTTGTACCTATTTAAATGAAGTCCATTTCAGAATTCTTTGGAATTTCTAGTAGTACATTTTTTTTCATAAGTGGCATAAATAATACATATTTATTTACACTGGGAATTTCCTGATTTCCAAACTTGATCAATTTTTCCATATATCTGACCATTTAATGTGTGAATTTCATGAGCTACCTATGTTCTTCATTCACAAATTTTAGGAGAATTGGTAATTTTACCCTAAATCCTGCATTTCCAAAGTAATTTTAGCTGTAACAACCATCATTAGAAAAA